CGCCAATCTCACACACATCTGTCCGGCTGATACAGAACTCCCCTTTTAAAGAGTCAATTTAATATTCAATAACTGCATGTATTATTCATGTGCTTTTCAATTTATTATTTTTTATTAAATATATTTTTATTTTATAAAATGTATTTAATAGTAATAATAAGAAGAATTATTACTATTAATTATAGTATATATAGAATATATATAGATATATATTTTGGCCAAATTGATCAGCCATACTAACAAGCACAACAAACCTAACCCTAACCCTGATGACCCCTTTTAAAGAGTCAATTTAATATTCAATAACTGCATGTATTATTCATGTGCTATTCAGAGCTGGTGTCTGCAGTACACACAGCGGCTTTCACTAATGAACCCGTGTCGTCTGTCATGCTGTCGGCGGAAAGCGCTTTAAATAAAAGTCTAACAGCAGTCTGGCTGCAGGGGCCCCGGGGCCAAACCCAGTCATGAGTCATGAGGGATACGGGAAAACCCTGCCGGAAACAGAGCCGGAATGGGTCTCCTCACTACAGAACTTCACTGGAACATGACAAATATTAGAATAAAATTGTGTAACTGTTACAAATATATATTTTTTTTTTCCCATGCAAAAGCTTTAAGGGTTCCCTGTGCTTTTTGCCAAAATAAAAGTTTGATGGTTGAACTTTTAAAATCATAAAAAAGTTTATATTGGCCTGATGACAATAATAATAATAATAATAATCGTCTTGTTATCGTCAAAGGCATCAGCCACAGGTGATATCTCTGACTATCATTGATACACGATACTATCGTCACGCGGCACAACCCCATACAGAAATATATGATATGTTTAATAATGTTTTTAATCTTATTATAATGTCATTGGCATCTCCCTCAGAGCAGCTGTTCTGCTCAGTCTTGATACATTAAGCTCCAATTTAATCACCAATATTTACATAATTTACAATTGCAGATTCTGTACTGTATGTCCAAACAGCCTGAAGGACATTAAAGTTACGCTTATAGTTCACCCAAAAATGTCAATTTGCTGAAAATATACTCATCCTCAGGCCATCCAAGATGTAGATGAGTTTGTTTCTTCATCAGATTTGGAGAAATGTAGCATTGCATCACTTGCTCACCAGTGGATGCTCTGCAGTGAATGGGTGCCGTCAGAATGAGAGTCCAAACAGCTGATAAACAGTGGTGTGGATTATTGTAATGTTTAGACTCTCGTTCTGACGGCACCCATTCACTGCAGAGCATCCACTGGTGAGCAAGTGATGCAATGCTACATTTCTCCAAATCTGATGAAGAAATAAACTCATCTACATCTTGGATGACCTGAGAGTGAGAACATTTCAGCAGATGCCATCTTTATTGCTGTATGTATGCGTTCACAGAAATTGAAGGGACAGTTGGATTCAATGATGTACTCTGTGTTGGGTGTGACGCTCTATTCAGTGTTTTCACATCTTTCCGAATGAATCAAATATTTATGAGCATCATTTAGCAATGCATCTGAACACTAGTTTGGAGCGAGACATTGGTGGCGCCGATCAATTATTTGGCCCCTGAAGTGGTGAGAAGACAATTGAAGCTATAATATTACTCAGTGAACCGTCACTGAAATTAGCGAAGCTCCCGGAGCGCTGATGGATTTAGACTCTGTAATAGCACTCTTTTCCTCTGGGTGAGAGTCACAGCCGGAACTGATAAAACATTAGATTTTTTTTTTTTTAATGAAAAAACCATCAGGTGTCTTTTTTCCCCATTTGTTCTTGTGCTCACGTGTGCTTTGGGATTTCACTTGTCCTCATGCAAACATCCAGACGTGTTTGGTGGTGGGAGTGTTTTTACCCTTGATTATGTTTGTTCAATTTGGCTGATTATATTTGTCTGCGGACATGGGTCGGATTCACATGATATGCATTTCTTGTAATTGTTAATACATTTCATTTTTGGTTATTTTGAGATTTAGATTTGGTTATTTTTAGTGAAAAAAAAAGTGTCGAGTCATTGCAATAAAATCCAATGTAAAATCTGGGTCCTGAATTAAGTTCAATAAAAGCAAAATGTTATTCGGTTACTTTTGTATGATAAAAAAAATTATTTAAAATAATTAATTAATTTTTATATTTATACATTTATAAATTCAAATTTATGTATTTAGTTAATTAGTTAGTTCGTTATTTTTGTATGATAAAAAATACTGTTGTACCCAGTGTAAAATCTGGATCTTAAAGTAATTTTAAAGCAAAATATAGATAGATTTTATTTATGTACAATTCATTTTTCAGTTATTTAAAAAAAATTGTGTCTAATGTAAAATCTTGGTCCTGAATTAAGTTCAATAAATGCAAAATTGTATGTATGTATTTATTTATGAAATTTTATTTTTTGATTGCTTTTGCATGAGGAAAAAAAAAATAAAGTAAATATAATAAAGTAAATATAATAAAATGTATATTTAGGTAATATTTATTTATTTAAATACATTTATATTTGATTTGGTTTGTTTTATTTATTTACTTATTTGTTCATTTATTTATGTATTTGTTTGAATTATTTATTTATTTATATTCATATATATATAGGTTTCATTTTTCCTGTTACTTTTGTATGATTAAAAAAAAACTTTTAATGTAAAATATGGGTCTTGAAGTAATTTCAATAAAGGAAAAATTTAGAAAGAATAAAGTTATTTATTCGTTTATATTTATAATATCGAATTTTCTGTTTATATGAATAAAATATATTTTTGGGGTTATTTTTGTAATCATGTTGAAATTGCTAAATTCGTAGATTTTCTCCGCTTGTTCTCGGTGACGTGCTCAGGTGCTCTCTGGGTTTTCGCTCGTTCTCAATCCTCCAGTGGTGTTTGGTGGTGGGAGTGTTTTTCAGGCTTGATTATATTTGTTGAAGCATTGGTTCTGCTGTGGCGCAGATGAATGGCTCTCGCACATCAGCGCTTGATTGGAGAGTCGTGGCGCTGGCTTGAATTAGCCGCTGACAGCTGAGAGCCGAACACACACCTGTTGCACAGCTGCATGAGAAACACTTGTTGAGCGACACACAGATGAAAGATCTGCTCTCTACCTGACCAACACGCTCAGCTACACACAAACAGGCTTTCTTGGCTGGAAATGGGCTCCAGACTGCAGCTCATTCTGGCCAACAAACGCCCACTCAGACAGGAACAGAGCAAACAACCAGCCAGAGCTTATTTCATTTTTACGCTCCAGGTTTATATGAGACAATTGGCATGGACATACGCAAGCTTGTTAATATTAATACATTTCATTTTTGGGTTATTTTTGTATATGTAAAAAAGTTGTGTCGTTGAAGTAAATATAACAAAAGCAAAATTGAGGTAGAATGCATTTATTAATTAATGTATTTATTTGTTTACTTATTTATTTAAATACATTTAATTTGTTTGCTTATTTTGTATGATAAAAAAAGATTGATTGATTGATTTGTTGATTGATTTTTTAGAGGAAAACAATTGAGTGTTAATTTAAATAAAAAATTTTTTATAGAATTGCCTGTTTTATTTATGTATTTATTCATTCATTTATACATATGTATTTTTTTTTTGCTATTTTGCTATATTTTTATCTATTTATTTATTTGTTTTGTTTTTTTTATTTATTAATCGTCTACCTACCTGTTTATTTATTTATCCATCCATCCATCCATTTATTCATTCATTTATACATACAGTACATTCATGTATTTTTTATTTCTCAGATAATTTTGCTATAGTTTTTCTATTTATTTGCTTATTTGCTTATTTTCTTTTTGTTTATTTATATATTCATCTACCATTATTTATTTATTTTAATACATTTTATATTTTGGGATAAAAAAAAGTGTTGTATGTATTTATTCATTCATTTATACATATGTATTTTTTTTTTGCTATTTTGCTATATTTTTATCTATTTATTTATTTGTTTTGTTTTTTTTATTTATTAATCGTCTACCTACCTGTTTATTTATTTATCCATCCATCCATCCATTTATTCATTCATTCATACATACAGTACATTCATGTATTTTTTATTTCTCAGATAATTTTGCTATAGTTTTTCTATTTATTTTCTTTTTGTTTATTTATATATTCATCTACCATTATTTATTTATTTTAATACATTTTATATTTTGGGATAAAAAAAGTGTTGCACCCAAGTGTTCTGAAGTAATTTTAATAATATTTTTTTTTATTTATATATTTATCTACTTATCTGTTCATCCATCCATTATTTATTTATATTAATGCATTTTATTTTTGTGTGATAAAAAAGTGAGTCTTAAAGTCATTTTAATAAAAGCAATATTTAATTAATTAATTACTTTGTGTATTTTAGAAGAAAACAATTGAATGTTCATTCCAGTACAATTTAGCTCAAATTTGATGTGTTATTTATTTATACATTTATGTATATTTTTAGCTGTATATTGTAATAAAATCTATCTATCTACAGTTTTATGCAAAAGTTTGGGCACCCCTCTGAGGCTGCATAATAATTAGCTCTTTCTTTATAAGAAAATATTATAGTGATATGCCATTCAGTTTCTAGAGAAAGCTGCATAATGTGATGTTTTTCAGACAGAAATTCTTAGTGTAGCAGTACTGTGCTGTATGAAATAAAGTCAAATGTGAAAAATAGGCTGTGCAAAAGTTTGGGCACCCTTTCAATTGTGTTGATTTTAATACCTAGTCTCTTATTGCTGATTAATTACAACACAGTATTGATTGTGAATCCATTCGATTGGCTCAGTGAACCTTAATACTGCAAACTAAGGTGCAACCTATCATGGGAAATGATATATAATATATATATATATATATAGTTTCTCTTGTGTGATATTGGGCTGATGTATTGAATGTTTCTTCATCATCACGAGCAGGTGTAGAGCAGCTCAGCTGGAGATTTTAGCGCACAGATGAAAGCGGTCTTATTCTGGCGTGTTTTATGGCAGCGGGCTTCATTACTGCGGTTCTCCCTCAGGAGGCGAAGCTGCGGGAGCTGCTGGATGTGGGGAATCTGGTGGGCCGGATAGAGAACCGGATGCTGACGGTGGTGACTGGGCCAGACATGGTCAACATCCAGTACCTGAACTTCATGGCCTTCCAAGAAGACGTCGCCAAGGTGTGTGTGGTTAGATCAGCAGATACACTCTTAAAAATAAAGGTGCTTGAATCACGATGCCATAGAAGAACCTTTCTTGTCTAAATGGTTCCATAAAGAACCTTCAACATCTGAAGAACCTTTCTGTTTCACAAAAGCTTCTTTGTGGCGAAAGAAGGCTCTTCAGATTATAAAAAGTAAGAAAGAGATGGTTCTTTAAAGTTCTTTGTGGAACCATAAATGGTTCTTCTATGGCATCGCTGTTATGCATCTCTATTTTTAAGAGTTTATTTGTGGCAGTGAGAAATTTGTGCAACGTAAATCCCAGGCAGGGTGCTTGACCTGAATCGTTTTAATAAATGTTGTCTATGTTTGTGCGCTGTCGCTGATGAAGGAGTGGGCAGATGAGCTCTTCAGTCTGGCGTCTAACCTGCTCGCTCAGAACATGGGCCGAGAGTCCTGTCTGGAGAAAGCGTGAGTACCTGATGCTCACATTTACCTGCTTCCATCAGGAGGCCGCTCACACCTCAGTCACGTGAGGAAACTGTACTGGATTTAAAAGAATATACAGTAACACTTAAAGCCTTTGTGTGTAATGCATTATAAATGTATCCATAATGCATGCTGCAATGCATTATATGATTTCATAAATATTTGTGACCAAAAATGCATTAGAATGTTTGAAGGTTTGTTTGTTGTGTGTTTTAATGCATTACACTTTCTAAAAGTCTAACAATGAAAACAAAGTGTTATAATGTATAATGGTTACAGTTATTCATGAGATCATACAATGCATTATAAGGTGCTTTACAAAGCAAAATGAATGCATTAAAAATTATTTTGTAATGTATTATATAAAGTCTTTAAGTAAAGTGTTACAGAATAGGTTTAAATAAATAAATAAATAAATAAATAAAGTAGTACTTAAATTTGTAAACACATTTATTATTGTTATTATTTATATATATATAATCTATTATAATCTATATATATATTTAATATATCTATCTATCTATCTATCTAAACACAATCAGTAAATCATGTAAACACACTTTCCTGAGAATGACTGATGTAGTTTTTCCGTGGTATTGTTTTCTCTCCAGCTTCATGAGACTCAAGCTACAGACGAATCAGGAGGGTCGAATCCCAGTGAAAAAGTAAGCCAGCATCAGTCTGCACCTCTGTGTCACATGATAAATGAGAACGTGATCAGACTTTCCTCCTCTGACGTTTCTCTGTCTCTCTGCAGCATCTTCCGCATGTTCTCGACTGACCGGAAGCGCGTGGAGACGGCGCTGGAGAGCTGCAATCTTCCGTCCGGCCGGGTGAGCATATGTTCGGCTAATCGCTCCAGAATCCCGCTGGCAGACAGGAAGACTGTGTGTTTCCACAGAAAGTCAATTTGTGGGTTTTACCAAATATGTGTGCTCTCGGATCAAGGAACACCACCTGACAAATGACATCTTACGTTTTCTCTCCCAGGATCAAGGGGCATTTACTTGCCTTATCATTTTATGCCAAATCTAGAAGCTGATCATAGGACACGGGGAGATTTTCAAAATCAAGAATGTTAAAAGGCCTCGGGAGGGAGAAAGTGTGTAACTAATTAGTTATTTTTTATATTTGTATTAAAAATTGTTTACAAATAATAGATTGTATTTATATCTGTTATTTTTGTCTATTTTATTTCAATTATGTGTTTTTTATTTATTTATTTATTTTAGTTAGTTAGTTATTTTGTTATTTATTTATATATATTAAATATATAATTATATATTTATTTATAAATTGTTTTTATCTATTTATCTGTTTTTATTTATTTATTTTATCTATTTAACAGTTTTTTATTTATTTATTTATTTGTAATATATTATTTATTTATTATCTGTAATTATATTATACATTTTTTTATTTATGCATTGTTTTATTTATTTATCTGTTTTTTTAATCTATTTATTTATTTTTCTATGTTGTCAGTTTATTTATATATATATTGTATTTATTTATCTTATTATCTGTTTATTTTTTTGTTTTATTTATGTTTTTCTCTTTTATCATTATTGATTTGTTTATACATTGTTTTTACCTATTTAACTGTTTTTTTAATCTATTTTTTATTTTTATTTATCTGTGTATTATTTTTGTATTTATTTATACACTTATTTATTTATACATTATTTTACCTATTTCTCTGTTTTTCCCCCCCTGCTTTTTAATTCCTAGCATCAAGGGAATCTATTGGTTTGCTTTATCATTTTACGGCAAATGTAAAGGTTGAACGTTGAACATGGGGAGATTTTCAAAATCCATAATGCTAAAAGGCCTCAGGAGAGTCGGGAGGGGAAAAGTGTGTAACTAATGAGAAATCCTCACTGTGTTATTCTGGCTGGCCTCCGCCTCTGACACACTCACATTCACATCCTTTCATCTGTTTTTTCTTCTTTGTTTGCTGCTTTTATATTTTGTGCGGTGAAGCATTAATCAGCCGCGGGCGAGAGCTGCATGTTTTGAATGTTCACTGCAGAGATGAGCGTCTGACAGCATGTGGACGACATGAGTAATGTTCGCTCGCTGATGTTATTGAGTTTGTCGTAAGAAACCAATCGATTCGTTGTCAGGTGAACTAGATGCTTCTTAGGATGAAATGAGCTAATTAATTTTGAATTCAGCTTAAATATTTTAGTTTCTATTCATATGAGACCACGTGTTATTAAAGGCAGGTTTAGCCTCTGTTTTTGGTGATTAATTGCTGCTGTCAGACCGAAGACTGCTTGTTAAAGGCTGTATTTATTTCATGATTTGATGGTCTGATCTTGTTCGTCTCTGCAGAACGACTCCATCCCTTTGGAGGATTTGACGCCTGATGTTTACAAATCGTTCATCAAAAACCTCTGCCCACGATCTGAGATCAACCAAATATTTGCTGATCTGTGAGTCTTTATGGAGCTGTTTTCAGCTGATGCTGTAGCTAATGATGCCTTCAATAAAAAAAAATCGAATAAAATCAAATAAAAATGGTTTGTTTGTCTGTTTTTTATAATTTCATGTATTTATTTATTTTTCAAATTTTATTATTTGTTATACTTTTACTTGTTTATTTTTATTTACACATTTAATTATTTATGCATTGCTGTATATATTTATCAGTTTTTTTCTGTTTCCATCCATTTATTTATTTGTCAAATTTTTCCATTTTGTTTATATTTTATTTATTTGTTTGTTTGTTTTTTGTATTATTTATACATTGTTTTTATCTGTTTTTTTATCTATTTATTTGTCTACTTTTTCTATTTATTTATTTATTTGATCCTTTTATCAGTTTTTTCCTGTTTTTATGTATTTATTTACTTTTTTATGAATGCTTTTGTTCATTTTAATGTTTTGTTATTTATTCATCCATTGTTTTATCTATTTATCTGTTTTTTCAGTTTTTCTTGATTTATCTTTTATTTATTTTTACTTTTATTTATCTGTTTTTATATATTTATACATTCATTTATACATTATATATTTATCTATCTTTTTCCTGTTTTTATGCATTCATTCATTTTTATCTATTTTTCTCATTTTTCAGTGTAGCTATGTATGTATGTGTGTATTACTACATAATGTTGCCTTCAAGTCATGTTGGAATGATATTATGAGACGAGTGCATTACAGTGTTGTAATTAGTTGGTTGGGGGCGTAACAATTAAAAAATCCTGATGAAAGATAATTGGTATTGATCATAACCAAGACGTTCCTTTAGAAAAAATCCACCTTGCTGAAAGTCGTTGTGTAATTTGCATGCTGGGATGATGCAGTTGCTCATCTGCGTGTTATGATTATCACTGTAAACCATATGCTCTGTTATGGATCTCCTGTCTCTCTCCAGCGGCGCGAAGAACAGAAACTATCTGACGGTGGATCAGATGACAGAATTCATCAACAGCAAGCAGCGGGACCCGCGTCTGAACGAGATCCTGTACCCACCGCTCAAACCCGAGCAAACCCAGCTGCTCATGGAGAAGTTTGAGCCCAACACAGCTGGGATTCAGAAAGGTCTGTCATTATTCATAATTCATCCACTCTCACTCTCATTTTCTTCTGTGGAGCACAATACAAACTCTTTTCCATACGTTTATAATAATTTTATAGTTAGGCTGAATGTTTTTTTTTTTTTGTGTGTGGGGGGGGGGGGTTAATCGAATGTGATTTTTATTTATTTGTTTGTATATTCATTTATTTGTTTATGTGTTTATTAATTAATTAATTATTTAATTCAGAGATCCGAGTTTGATGTGTTTGTATGTGTATCTAATCGAGCTCCGTCTGTTCCCGCCATCGTGCTAATATGACATCTAATCCCTCATTAGTTTTTACACCCAACTTGTTGATTGACAGCCGCATTAAAACACTGATGGATTCCTGCGTTTCCATGTTCAAACGGCAAACACCTCGGGATTCAACCAGCAACGATCCCGTTATACATCCCATCTGATTTAAAGGCCTATTGCCATGGATACATTCATATCAGATGCCGTTTGAAAATATTACACTTTACAGAAACATCAGTCACATTTGAGAATTTTCCTCATGAAAGTTTAATAATTAGGCCTGAAACATTGTTGCAACAGCTAAATATAAACATGCATATTTTTGTCAGATATTCTTAGTCATTTCGTCTTTCTCAGGAGGTTTGCTGTCTGTGAGCGAATCAGCACACAGGGTCATGCATATTAATTAGATTGTGACTTTTGCCCTAAATGATTTGCTGAAAAGATGATGTTGGAGCAAATAATGGAAAAGCATAATACTAATAGTTAATATACTTAAGTTATTTAATATACGAACAAATATACTAATTCATTCTACACTGAAAAGTATAGATATAAATAGTTTAATCAGATTAAAAAGTGGTTAACATTTTTGTATTTTTATCACTAATTAAAGGGGTCATATGATGTTGCTATAAAGAACATTATTTTGTGTATTTGGTGTAATGAAATGTGTTCATGAGGTTTAAGGTTCAAAAAACACATTATTTTCCACATACTGTACATTATTATTTCTCCTCTATGCCCCGCCTTTCTGAAACGCGTCGA